ACTGCATCCCGCACTGCATCCCGCACACAGCCACTGCCTGCATCCCGCACTGCATCCCGCACTGCATCCCGCACACAGCCACTGCCTGCATCCCGCACTGCATCCCGCACTGCATCCCGCACACAGGCACTGCCTGCATCCCGCACTGCATCCCGCACCCCCATTGCCCCCATCCTGCACCCCATCCCAGCACCCTGTGGCCCTGGGCTCCCCGGTGGCCCCTCAGGGCCATGCTCTGGCCAGGGCACAGTATCACACCTCTCAAAGTCACTGCTACAACCCAAGAACCACAAGTGGCTCCTTCCCTCCCTGCAAAGAAATCCTGCCACTCCTGTGTCTGACAATAGTATTTCAAACACAAACTAAACCAGAGCTTTAAAGGGTTATTTAAAAGCCATGCAAATGGGACTCTCCATCTTCTGGGACGTCTGGGTGCTTCCACACGGGAAGGGATTTACAAGCCCAGAAGAGCTATGCAAGGACAAAGCCAGCTTGCAGGCACGTCAATCCTAACTCTTACCCTTCTTCAACCCTAATTTGGTGGAAGATGATAATTTGTGTCACCAATGTACCTGTTCTCAAGTCCCTATACTCCCACCTGAGCTATCCCAGGGGAGGAAACACCACCAGTTCCCCCAGAAACAGCTCAGCGACACACCAGCATCACGCCCACCAGCAAGGACCTGCATCCTGCGGGGACCAGCCCAGCTCCGGGCCCGGGCAGGGAATTCCCAACTTGGAAGAAGTGATTGAAAACTCAGCACACTCATCCAGTAAGAGCACTGGGCACAGCAGGAAACCACGTCCCGCATCAGGAATTGGCTCCTAAAGCAATTTAAAAGCCTGATCTCTCCTCCTGCGAAGCCCAAATGCAGTGCAGCCACTCTCAGAAAGGGCACTAAAGACATCCCTGATTTATGCCAGCACCAGGGGAGGCTGCAGCAGAACCAGTTCCTGCCTGTTACACTCTTTAATTATAAACTGTCTCGCCTTTTTGATTGCTGTCCATGTTGGGATCTCTGATTTACTCACCAAAACAGCTCCGTCCCCTTTGATTACAGGAAGAGGGGAAAACCCACCCCTCGCAGCCAGAATGAGGGGAAAAAAATGAGTTTACAGCCAGGAGAACTGATGGTAGAAGCTGCATAGAGCATTCAGAAAGCTCAGCACAGGTACTGCTAGACACGGGCAGCCAGAGGTTGCTCTCACCTCCTGAAGCTGGGATTCCTTCTTCTTTGAAGACAAGTTTAAGTGCTTTTCTAGGACACCACAATACTTCTCCGTCTCCTTGTCGTATTTCTTCTTGGCGTCCTACAAAACAGAACAAAAGGTGTGATGCTGAACACGGGGCAACCGTGAGGATGCAGGGCATCCCTTCTGCACCGGGCAGGAGACAACCCCCTTCTGCAGAGCATGAGACATGACTGAGGCCAAGAGGCAGAAGCTGGAAGCAGGTGACTATCAGGCAGCTACAGAAAACCTGCTTGCGCTGCCAAAATCCAAGACTTTGGGGAGCTTCTCTGTTCCCAGAGCCCAAGGCCAGTCCATCCCAGCAGCACACCAGGTCCTGGCCACCACCATGGCCATCACCAGGGGCCTCTGGGCCCTGCTCCCGAGCCTGAGCTGGGTTTACCTTTGCAGCCCCGATCTGCTCCTTGCGAAACTTCTCCAGCGGCATGATCAGCACCTCGCTGGCGTTCTCGATCTGCGGGCAAAGACAAGAACAACTCACCCGTCACCTTTTGCCCAGCTCAGACCCAGACACCCATGATGCTCAAGAGCTTTTTCCATGGACACAACCCACACGCTTCGCTCTGCACGGGGTGAGGACCTGGGAGGGGCTGAGGGGCTTGTACCAAACCTGCTCCTCACCCAGTGAGCCCCACCAGCACCAGCACTGGCCATTTTCCAACAGCAAGACACCACAGAACCACACAATCACAGAATTGCCTTGGCTGGAAGGGACTTTCAGATCACGGAGTCCAACCATCAGCCCAGCACTGACAAACCCACCACTGACCCGTGTCCCTCAGCACCACGTCTGCCCGGCTTTGAAATCCCTCCAGGGATGGAGACTCCACCACTGCCCTGGGCAGCCTCTGCCAAGGCTTCACAACCCTTCCCATGAAGAAATTTTTCCCAATTTCCACCCTAAACTTCCCCTGCCACCCACCCCGCTGCCGGCAGACGGGCCGTACCATGCGCATCCGCTCGTCCTCCAGGTTCCGCAGCACCGTGGCAAACTCCTGCAGAGACTTGGCTGGAAGGGACACACCCACATGGTCAGCAATTTAAAAAGAAAATAAAATGTTGTTAAATAAGAGAGAGACTGAAGAGCAGGTTTTTTTTTGTTTCTGTTTTGTGGGGTGGGTTGGTTGGTTGGTTGGGGGCTTTTATCATCTTTTCTCTCTCCCCAAAAAGGCTTCCAGTTGCCTTAAAAAGCAACAGGCAGCAGAGCATCCCCAGCACTGTGTTCCCACTTCCACAGAGAAACACCTCACCTCAAGGCTTCACAACCCTTCCCATGAAGAAATTTTTCCCAATTTCCACCCTAAACTTCCCCTGCCACCCACCCCGCTGCCGGCGGACGGGGCCGTACCATGCGCATCCGCTCGTCCTCCAGGTTCCGCAGCACCGTGGCAAACTCCTGCAGAGACTTGGCTGGAAGGGACACACCCACATGGTCAGCAATTTAAAAAGAAAATAAAATGTTGTTAAATAAGAGAGAGACTGAAGAGCAGGTTTTTTTTTGTTTCTGTTTTGTGGGGTGGGTTGGTTGGTTGGTTGGGGGCTTTTATCATCTTTTCTCTCTCCCCAAAAAGGCTTCCAGTTGCCTTAAAAAGCAACAGGCAGCAGAGCATCCCCAGCACTGTGTTCCCACTTCCACAGAGAAACACCTCACCTCCATCTCATAGAATCACAGGATGGTTTGGGTGGGATGGGACCTCAAAGTCCCGTCCATTCACCCACCACCACATCTCCAGACCCCTGCTCTGCTGTGCGAAAGGGACGGATGATCTACACGGTTTCAGGTACAGGCTATCTGCTTCCTTTCCTATCTGGCAGGAATAGATTTTGGACAAGAATTCCCTGGAAATGTTGAAACAGCAATTCCAATTTCCTTGGGAAGGCTTCGCTGATGCTGAACCAGGAGAAACGAGCCATTTGCAGAGGTTCAGGAAAGCACCCAGCCTAATTCCCAGGCCCCTTGGTGTCCCTGTGTGTGTTTCTCCCCTGTCCCTGCTCAGCCGGGGGGGCTGGAGCCCCGGGGGTCCCCACGGCTGTGGGACTCACCGATGCAGATCTCGTCATCCGTTTCGGCGTCGCCGATGCAGAGGAACTTAAACTCATTGAGGGAGTCTGCAAACTTGCGCTTGGCTGCCGACAAGTCTGCCAGGAGAGGGGAAAAACACCGCGTTAGACAAGGAAAAAGCCCACCAACAGCACGATGCAGACAATGCCTAATCCCAGCCGGCAAGTCCCCACGGAGGGGACCACCACGGTGCCACCCCCAGCACCAGGGAAGCCCCGAGAGCCCTGACCTTCTCCTGCACCCACCTGAGGGGCAGGGCTCTGTGGGGTCCCGTCCAGCACCCACCAAAACCCACTACAGGAGATGCAGCCCCAAAACACCACGAGAACCACACAGGGGCTGGAGCCCAGCAGCAAACGGTGATGCAGGGTGGCACCGTCCCCCAGGAGATGGCACCTCCACACCCCCATCCCGCTGGAGCAGGGCACCGTGTAGGGGTGATAATGCCGAGGTTTGTTGCTTTCCAAGCTGCAGATTCTCTCCGAGACCGGAATCCTATTAAGATCTTACTGGGGGTGACCTGAGTGGATCCAGGACTGGCTTTGCAGACCAGCCCCGTGCAGACACACACGCTGCGGCACCGCGGGGCCACCGGCTCCGAGGGGAACTGATGCTGGAGTAACGCGAGGGACAGCAGGCAGGCAGGCAGGCGGCGTTAGGGAGACGTCATGCTAATTCCCTGGTGCATTTTTTCACTCAAAGTCCAAAAATTCAGTGGTTTTTTCCCCCTTTCCAAGCACAGGTGGAAAATAGGCGTGTGCACACAAAGGCCGTTTCCTCCTCTCGGACACCAACAGCCAAAAGAAAACCGCAAAGGAATTCAAGTGTTTTGCTTTCCCTGTGGGATAAGAGAATTTAAAGCTCTCTCCGAGCTTTAGAGCTGCTCTCAGAGCGTCCCTGCTTAGAGCCCTGGGGCTAATCCTGCCCCACAGCTCAGCCCCACGCCAGGGGTGCTGCTCGCCCCACGCTGCTGCCATCCCTCACTGGGGCAGCCGGACGGGCTGGGGGACTTTAACCCGGTCCCCGGAGCTGGGTGGCCTCCTGCCTCCTCCAGAATAATAACGAAGATGACGTTAATGACTTAAGGAGCGATTTCCTCTGCCCCAGCTCCGCGCTGAGCATCAGCCCAACTCTCCCCGCCGCCCACCGTGGCCTCACGGGTCCCCTGCCCAATGTTACACACAGCAGGGACGAAGCCAGAGCGCAGCCAAGAAGCCGGTGGCACCCGCCAGCAGTGGCTCTCGGAGCTTATAAATAGGAAAGGGAGAGGGAGATAATTCCCCGTGCGACGGCGATAAAGGAGGATCGTTGGCAGCTGCTCGCCAGGCGACACGGCCGAGCCACAGGGGCGAAGCAGATCCTAAAATTAGCAGCAGGATGGGCCAGGAACAGAGAGAGGGGCACCCACACCTCTGGGGAGAAGCGAGGGGCCCCACCGTCCTCCCTGTGCCACCGTTAGACCCACCTGCGCTCCTGGCATCCCGTCTTCCTAAAAGCTTGAACATCCCATCTACATTTTGGGGAAAAACCCCTGCAGTGGAAGCAGCCAAAGCTCCTGGCCCCTCCAAGGGACAAGCTCAGTTCCTGAGGCTTCTTCTTCCCCAGGGCTGTGGACGAGCAAACCCCAAATCCTACCTCCTCAGAAACTTCTGCTTCCTCTCATGCAGGAGTGAAACCACCCAGACCCCACGCGTGTGTCACCGCCGGGCTGTGACAGCTCTGCTCCCGAGCCACACAGCTTTCCAAACCCCCCCGTGCCCTCCCCTCCAATGCAGGACCATCCTGCCCCACAGCCCCCACAACCACGGTGCATTCCTTCCCCCTCTCCAGGTTGACTGTTCCACAGTGGGGTTGCTATCGCAGCCCTCCTCCTCCTCCTCCTCCTCCTCCTCGTCCCCTCCCATGGCTCCCCATCCACACCCCCGGGGCTGGCGGGGACAGGACGATCCCTTCGGAAAAGTCCACTTGACAGAAAGCAGGCGCAGGCCCCGCGTGCCGGAGATCCAGCTGCGTAGCTACGGCAACCAATAATCAAAATATAATGCCCTATGACAAACGATGTATTGGCTCGTTACTGCGATACGGGGTGACCTGCTCAGCCCTTCAGGGGAGCAGCCCGGCAGCACTCCCCTCCCCGAGAACCTTCCCTTCCTGGAAGAGGGTTTTAGGACCTGAACTGGGTACAACGAGGGAGAAACCTGCAGAGGACGGGGGAAAGTGCTGTGGAAGAAGACATAACCTTGCAGAGGGCAGAGGTACTGGCAGGGGTCTGCTCCAGAAAGGAGGAATTTCATAGAATTATACAATTATAGAATGGTTTGGGTGGGAAAGGACCTCAAAGCCCCCCAGTGCCACCCCCTGCCCTGGGCAGGGACACCTCCCACCACACCAGCTTGCTCCAAGCCCCCTCCAACCTGCCCTTCAACCCCTCCAGGGATGGGGCAGCCACAGCTTCTCTGGCCAACCTGGGCCAGGCTCTCACCACCCTCACACCAAACATCCACCACGTCCTCTCCATCCTGATGGCTCCCAACAGGGCAGGAGGCAGGTGCCTGTACCTGGGAGCTTCCTCATTCAACCCCTTTGCCTGTCCCTTGTCCCTCGTGCCCAGTTTAGGGGTCAGCCCACCTCTCCCCTGGGACCCCACATCTCTCTTGATCCCTCCACCAGCCTGGGAGACAGGTAACTGCTGGCTGAGGACCCATCCCAGCCTCAGACCTCCCTGCAGGCACTGGGGACCCTCCAAACATGGCTGAAGCCCACGTTATTCCAGCCCACAGCAGCCCTGCCACGAGGGAGCACCTCACACTCCTGCTGCCTGTCCTCCCGGCATCCCTCCTCCTCCTCCTCCTCAGCTATTGAGAGGCAAATCTTCTTTCTGGGAAGCAGCTGCTGTTACTGCAACAAAACTGAAGTGGTTATTTTTTTACATAAAAGTCCCCTTCCAAAGGAATTCGGAACTATTGAAAAAGGCCACTTATAGAGGGAAGAGGTCACGATTTCACAACCCTCCTCCATGCGTACAGCACCCTGGGCACAGCGGGGACAACCCTGGCCCAGACAGCTCCGTGGCTGGTGCCACAGAGGGGCTGCCCCGGGTGCAGGTCTCCCCTGTGGGCACATCCCACAGAGGGAAGGTGGGCTGAAACCTGGAAGCCTGGGCAGATGGACAGCAGGGAGCTTCTCCCTTAAATCACAATTTCTAAGGGGCTGAGAAGAGACTGCAACTCCTCCACCTGCATCCTCTTCCTGGCTGGGATGGACCTGGCTGGGAAATGTGGCCACAGGACCCAGAGCGGAACCATATACCATCAAAAGAAGATGTCAAGAAGACAGGAGGGGACCTGCTGCCCAGTCCCACCACCCGCCGGGAGCGCAGTCCCCTGGTCCCTGCGTGTTTGAGGGATGAGGTCAGCCAGGGAAAACGCTGTTCTGCTGGCTCAGAGAGTGGGGGCTCTCCCCAAAGCTGACTTTGCAGCCAGCTTGCCATTTAAGCTGGAAAAAACAAAACCAGCGCTGGCTCAGCTGTGCCACGGGGCAGGGACAGGGCAGCAGGACGCTGCGGGCATCCTCGTTAGCGACAAACCTGCTGACGAGCTCGGGAGAGAAGGGTTAATGCTGCTGAAAGGGGGAAAGCGAAGGATGCTGATGAGGCTGGTTGCATGCTGCAAGGCAAGTTCCAGGGCTCGGGGTGTCTGACAGAGATTGTGCTCACACAGAACAGTATTTCTACACTTCCTGCAAAGAAAATTGCTTAACGGCCTATATTTAATGCTCAATTGGACAACAGGAACTGAGGCTCCTGCCCCTTCCTTCCCCCGCGGCAGGGAACGGCAGGGAACAGCAGGCTCGTCCCCCGCAAGCCCCCAGAGAGGGACAGGAGAGTCCCCAGCAGGACAGGGGCACGTCCCCTCCTCCAGGCCCCTCTGCCCTCGGTGGCACTGCCTGTCCCCCCCCAGCAGCACCCACAGCCCCACGGGGGTCCCAGCCCCCTCGCTGGGGAGGTGACCACACTCCCACTGGCAGCCGCAGGACAGAAGCCACCAGCTCCCCCACAAGCTTCCCAAAAAAGATTTGCATCTGCTGCATGGTCCATCTTCTGGCAAATTTTTGCTGGTACCTGGTGGCACCTCTGCAGCCCCTCATCTCCCAGGCCACAGCAGCCGGCACCGAGTCGCCCTGCGGCGGGCAGGGCCCAGCCAGGACGGGTAATCCCAGGAACAGCCGCTCTAATCGGTGGCCAAACCAGCCGGATTATGGCCCGGCGAGGGCGCTTAGAAAGCAGCAATATGGTGTCTGACCCCACAGCGAGCACCTGGCGCCCGCAGCCGCCTGCCTTTGGGCACAACGCTGGAGCAAAGCCACCGGGAGCTCATGCCACGTCCCGCGGTGCTCGGGCATGGAGCTGGGAATGTCCTACTGGATCCAGCCCATGGATCACAGGAGCTCTCTGCCACGCTGCGGAGCTTGGGATGCTCTGACCCAACCACGGCCCCCCAGTTCATCCAGCAACAAGCACCTCGAGCCTGAAAAACAGCATTCACAGCCACCCGCATCAAATTTTAGTCCCCCCCCCAGACCCAGCCCATGCACTGCCGGGGTCAGCACGAAGCACTGGGGCAGCATCATTAAATGCTTCATTTATTCCAAGAGGTTTAAATCCTCCCTCTCCTCAGCGGAGGTCAGCAAAAGCCCCGCTCCCGCGAGAACGCCACGGTCCTCTGGACCCAGCACCATCCCCAAGCTGCCTTCATACGTAATTAGCAACGACTTGCTTATTAAATAACTTCTCCACCGGGCGGTTGGAGTTAATCAGTGGTTTAGGACAGGGCTGCAGCTGCTGGCAGGTTCCTCCTCTGATTCATCCTGCGACTAAATATATAAAACCAGACGAGTGGAGACAACCCCACCTCCGGCAGCAGCTCCTGCCGTGGTTTTCGTGCATGAAAGCCCAGGGAAAAGCTGCCAGAGATCGAGGTGTGAGGGTGTCACACCAAGAGGGAGGGGACCCCAAGGACCCGTCAGTCCCTGCACTCACCCCGAGGAGGGAAGAGCATCACTGCCGTGGCCCCACAGCACCCCCAGACCCTATTTTAGTGCCTTCACTGCACCCACAACCTCCAGCTGAAACACAGCACCCAGCCTCATCTCACTGGTACACGTGGGGAGGCCAAATCCCACCTCCCCAAATCACAAAACATCATTTCATAGAATCATAGAATTGTCTGGGTTGAAAGAGACCTTTAAATCATCTAGTCCAACCATCAACCTAACTCTGATCAAAAAACAAAAGAAAACCATACAAAAAAAAAAAAAAAACCACGTTACTAAACTATGTCTCTAAGCACCATGTCAACCCTATGTTCACCAAGGAAATTCTACAAATACCTATACCCTACAAACCAAGCTTCAAGGGAAAATCCCAAAACTCTTCGGACGTGCTAAAGCACAAGAAAAAAGGGAAGGATCTGTCTGAGGTGGCCCCAAGGCTGCAGACCCAGGCGGTGCTGCAGCTTCTGCTCAGCCTTTTGCTGTGCCCAGGGAGCACGTTGCCTGCTGCCGGGCCAAGGCATCACCGTATGCCTCGCTTCACACGCTCAACGTGGCTCCGGACGGCAAAATGTTTGCCAGAGGGACAGAGAACCCATTGTGGGATGAATGGGACCATTGACCGGGCTCAAACAGCAGATCGGATTTGAGCAACGCGCTGAAGACATGAATTATGTCCACGGTATTTTAAGAGATAAAAAGTTCTGTGCTGCGTGAAAAACACACTCAGCCCCTGGAGAGACACAGCTAAAGTTATCCCCCCGCTGCCCACCAGCCCCACACCCTGCCTGGCCACCTCATCCCACCTCCCCCAAAGCAAGAACGGTTGGAGTTCTCCAGGCAGCCTGGCCAGGGAAAGCCTCCTGAGGTTCCTGATGAAAGGGAGCTGAAGATCCAAGGGAAACGAAGCAGGAGGCACCATCTGGTCTCCTGGAGGGACGGTTGGGTTTCCAGGAAGGTGGAGGGGGTTTCACACCCCAGACACACAGGGTGACCCTCATCCTCAGTGGTCCCGTTTGAAGGTGATGGGGAGCTGGGGGGAAAAGGAGGGTTTGCTGGCAGCGGTGACTTTCCTTGTGCATCACCAGGCAGGTTCTGCCAAGGAAGGATGGAGCAGCTTTAAAATAAAGAGAAAGCAAGAAGGAAGCCCCTGCCTGGCTCATGGGCTCGCTCTGGAGGGGCAGGAGTGGCAGCCCCTCTTCCCACAGCGAGCCCCTGCAGAGAGGGCAGGAGCCTGCCCTCAGACCCCTCTCCCCAGCTGCAGCCCCGGCGGCGAGATGCCACTTTACAGAACCCTTTAAAATGAGTAAAAACATCTTCAGGGAGACCAGAGCTATGAGAGATTCTCAGAAACATCTGGTGGCGGATGTGTGAGGCATCGCAGGCTCATGCTTGTTCCTCCCGTCACCCACCCGTGCTAGAGATGGTCCAAACCAGCAATGTTTTGGACATTGGACAAACCAGGCCCTGGAAGGCAGCCTGTGGCTGGCCGTGGGGATGCTGGGTGTCCCCATGGC